GGTCTTTCGTAGGCAGTGTAAAGCGCCCTAAAAGCCTCCTCACTTAGGTTTCTGAATGATGTTCTAATTTTCGCCAGTGTAGAGTACACTGCTGTCGTTATCCTATTTATATGTGCCTCAGGAGTTAGATTAGTTGTCACATCCACTCCTATAGGGAGTCGGTCGGCCGAGCGGACAGCACGCGGGACTTGTGATCCTGTGGTCCTGGGTTCGATCCCAGGCGCCGGCGAGAAACAATGGGCAGAGTTTCTTTCACCCTATGCCCCTGTTACCTAGCAGTAAATAGGTACCTGGGTGTTAGTCAGCTGTCACGGGCTGCTTCCTGGGGGTGGAGGACTGGTCGAGGACCGGCCCACGGGGACACTAAAAAGCCCCGAAATCATCTCAAGATAACCTCAAGATAGGTCTCTTTCTCAAATCGTTACAGGTAGGCAGTTCCCCTTCATTGTGTACTGTCCCTTTGGTCGTCTATCACCTGATCCCATTTCCATAACTTTACATTTACTGGTGTTGAACTCCAGTAGCCATTTCGCTGATCATCTCTGCAACCTGTTTAAGTCCTCTTGGAGGATCCTACAATCCTCATCTGTCACAACTCTTCTTATTAATTTTGCGTCATCCGCAAACATTGACATGTATGATTCCACTCCTGTAAACATATCATTTACGTAAATTAGAAAGAGTATTGGGCGCAGCACCGATCCTTGAGGTACTCCACTCGTTACTGTTCGCCAGTCCGACTTCTCGCCCCCTTACCATTACCCTCTGGCTCCTTCCTGTTAGGTAGTTCCTCACCCATACTAGGGCCTTTCCGCTTACTCCTGCCTGCCTCTCAAGTTTGTATAGCAGTTTCATGTGCGGTACTGTATCAAAGGCCTTTTGGTAATCAAGAAATATGCAGTCTGCCCAGCCTTGTCTGTCCTGCCTTATCCTTGTTACTTTGTCATAGAATTCTAAAAGGTTTGTTAGGCACGATTTCCCTGTCCAGAACCTATGTTGGTGCTTGTTTACAAACCCAATGCTCTCCAGGTGCTCAACAAGTCTTAGCCTAATTATTCTTTCAAGTATTTTGCAGGGGATGCTTGTCAGTGATACGGGTCTGTAGTTAAGTGCCTCCTCCCTATCACCTTTCTTGAAAATCGGTACGACATTTGCCTCCTTCCAGCAACTGGGCAATTCTCCAGACATAAGTAACTCATTAAACATCATTGCCAGAGGCACGCTGAGAGCCTGCGCTGCCTCTTTTAGTATCCACGGTGATACTTTGCCTGGTCCAACCGCTTTAGTTGCATCCAGTGTTGTCAACTGTTTCATTACCACCTCTGCTGTCACCTCTGTATCTGATAGTCTTTCATCTAGGGTAATCTCTTCTAACAATGGGAGCCACTCAGGCTCGGTTGTGAACACTCCATGGAAACTTGCATTCAGTACCTCGCAGATTTCCTTGTCGCTTTCTGTATATGCCCCTTTTGTTTTCCTCAGTCTTGTCACTTGGTCATTTACCGACATCTTCCTTCTTATATGGCTATGTAGTAATTTAGGTTGCTTTTTTTATTTGATTGCAATATCATTCTCATAATTTCTTTCCGACATTCGTCTTATGTTAATGTAATCGTTCCTAGCTCTGTTGCATTTAATCCTGTTGTCCTCTGTCCTTTGTCTTCTGTACTTCCTCCACTCCCTCCTGCTTCTCACCTTTGCTTCCTGACACTGTCTATTAAACCATGGGTTATTATATTCCCTCCTGCTTTTTTCCTTTACTGTTGGAATAAATCTCTCTTCAGCCTCCTTGCATTTCCATATGACTTGGTTCATCATATCTTGGACTGTTTTTCCTCTAATTTCTTCCTCCCACTGCACTTATCCCTGGTAGTCCCCTATCCTCCTGTAGTCCCCTCTTCTGTAATCAAGTTTCCTTACTCGGACCTCTTGTCCTTTGGTCACAATTTTAAGTTCCATCATGTAGTCAGAGACTAGGACACAATGGTCACTGGCTCCTAGTGGTATTTCATGTTCTAAATGCTCGATGTTTTCTACATTCTGGGTGAAAACAAGGTCTAATAGGCTGGGCGTATCCCCCTTCCTCTTTCCCTAGTGTCTTCCTTCACATGCTGTGTTAAGAAATTCCTGTCAATAACGTCTACCAGCTTCGCTCCCCAGGTCTCCTCCCCGCCATGGGGATTCCTCGTTTCCCAATCTATCTCTCCGTGATTTAGGTCCCACATGACCAGCAGCTTCGCCTTCACTATAGTTGCTGCCCTCTGCAATTCATCAATACATGCCTTGTTGCTGTCCTCATACTCCTGCCTGGGCCTTCTACTGTTTGGTGGGGGATTGTAGAGTATCAAGATTACAATCTTCTTCCCATCCACTATCAGAGTTCCATGTATGAAGCTCGTGCTTTCATTGGTACCCGGATTTTCCAGCTCATCAAACTTCCATTTCCACTTTATTAGTAGTGCCACTCCTCCCTGTCTCTGTGTCCTTTCTTTTCTTATCACCTGGTACCCCTCTGGAAAGATTGCATCCAAGATTATGCCATTTATTTTAGTTTCCACTATTGCCACTATGTCTGGGTCTGCCTCACTAACTCTTTCTTTTATTTCCTCTGCTTTATTGGATACCCCATCAGCATTGGTGTACCAAACCTTGAGACTCTTCTTGGAAACCCTGGTGCCAGAGTTCTTCCCCCCCCCCCATTCGCCGAGGGTCTGGGGGGTACTGGGGGGTGTCTAGGGGGGGGGGGGTTGTGGGGGTGTCTGAGGGGAGTGCCTGGGAGTGCCTGGTAGGCAAATGGGGTCTGGGCATCTAGGGGGGTAGGAAGGGCATAATGGGTCTGAAACTTAGGGAGAGTCTGAATGGCATAGGGGGGCTGAGAAATAGAGTGAGACTGAGTCAGATAGAGGTTGAGAGGTTAGGGGGGGGGGAGAGGGATATTGAGGGCAGAGGGCTGAGAGGAGAATGGAGCATGGGGTGCTGGGAGTGGAAGAGGGGTTACTCACCTAGTTGTGTTTGCGGGGGTTGAGCTCTGGCTCTTTGGTCCCGCCTCTCAACCGTCAATCAACAGGTGTACACATTCCTGAGCCTATTGGGCTCTATCATATCTACACTTGAAACTGTGTATGGAGTCAGCCTCCACCACATCACTTCCTAATGCATTCCATTTGTCAACAACTCTGACACTAAAAAAGTTCTTTCTAATATCTCTGTGGCTCATTTGGGCACTCAGCTTCTACCTGTGTCCCCTTGTGCGTGTGCCCCTTGTGTTAAATAGCCTGTCTTTATCAACCCTATCAATTCCCTTCAGAATCTTGAATGTGGTGATCATGTCTCTCCTAACTCTTCTGTTTTCCAGCAAAGTGAGGTTTAATTCCTGTAGTCTCTCCTCGTAGCTCATACCTCTCAGCTCGGGTACTAGTCTGGTGGCAAACCTTTGAACCTTTTCCAGTTTAATCTTATCCTTGACTAGATATGGACTCCATGTTGGGGCTGCATACTCCAGGATTGGCCTGACATATGTGGTATACAAAGTTCTGAATGATTCTTTACACAAGTTTCTGAATGCCGTTCGTATGTTGGCCAGCCTGGCATATGCCGCTGATGTTAACTACTTGATATGTGCTGCAGGAGACAGGTCTGGTGTGATATCAACCCCCAAGTCTTTTTCCTTCTCTGACTCCTGAAGAATTTCCTCTCCCAGATGATACCTTGTTTCTGGCCTCCTGCTCCCTACACCTATCTTCATTACATTACATTTGGTTGGGTTAAACTCTAACAACCATTTGTTTGACCATTCCTTCAGCTTGTCTAGGTCTTCTTGAAGCCTCAAACAGTCCTCTTCTGTTTTAATCCTTCTCATAATTTTAGCATCGTCCGCAAATATTGAGAGAAATGAATCGATACCCTCCGGGAGATCATTTATATATATCAGAAACAAGATAGGACCGAGTACAGAGCCCTGTGGGACTCCACTGGTGACTTCACGCCAATCGGAGGTCTCACCCCTCACCGTAACTCTCTGCTTCCTATTGCTTAGATACTCCCTTATCCAATGGAGCACCTTACCAGCTACACCTGCCTGTCTCTCCAGCTTATGTACCAGCCTCTTATGCGGTACTGTGTCAAAGGCTTTCCGACAATCCAAGAAAATGCAGTCCGCCCAGCCCTCTCTTTCTTGCTTAATCTTTGTCACCTGATCGTAGAATTCTATCGAGCCTGTAAGGCAAGATTTACCCTCCCTGAACCCATGTTGGCGATTTGTCACGAAGTTCCTTCTCTCCAGATGTGTTACCAGGTTTTTTCTCACGATCTTCTCCATCACCTTGCTTGATATACAAGTCAAGGACACTGGGGTGTATTAGTTAGGGGGTAATCGGGGGTAGGTGGGGGTTTTGGGGTAGAAGAGGGGAAGAGGGAGATGGGGGAAGGTGTTACGGGGTCACAAGGTGAGGGGGTTAAATGTGGTCTGGAGGTGCTTAGGAGGGGTGAGGGTTGGGTGGGGTTTGGGGGTGAGTGGAAAAGGGGTGCAGTGGAAGCTGGGATGGAGTAGATGGAAGTGAAGGCAATGGGGCAGGGGGCAGGGGAGTAGGAGGGGGTAGTAGAGGGGGGGATGGGAAGGTGGGTTTGGGGAGGGCATGGCTTGACCCACTGGGGTCGTTGACAGGTGTGATGTAGCAGGGGCAGGGGAGTTGTTGGGGAAGTGCAAATGTGGAAGGGGCAGGGGGATGAGGTAGGGGGGAGGTATAGGAGGGCTGAGTTGGGGAGGAGGTGACCTGGGAGGTGACCTGGGAGGTGGCCTGGGAGGTGGGGGTACGGTGTCGTGCTTGCCATCTATTCTTTGTGTGTGTGTGTGTGTGTGTGTGTGTGTGTGTGTGTGTGTGTGTGTGTGTGTGTGTGTGTGTGTGTGTGTGTGTGTGTGTGTGTGTGTGTGAATACATAATATTCACATTATATATTAATTTATAAAGCCATTTTTATTATAATTTAAATTTGTTTAACAGTTAAACCCGACGATGTGAAACTGAACATGTCCAACAAAAACTTGATACAGAAGAAAGACGGAAAGTTTCAACTGACCTGTACTGCCAGCGGCTTCCCCAAGCCTCGTGTGACCCTCCAGTTTCAACAGTGTTTCAGTAAAGACAACTGCACTAATTTCTCACCTCTCAGTAAAGTAAGAAAATTTGCCTCATTTATTTCTTTAACGTTGTGATGTATTTTGGTGTCCTTGGAAGAAAATGTAATTCATCGATCATAAAAACTCTGATCAAAGTACGCGGAAAGAACAAATTGAAAAATATGTGAATGCTAAACGCATTTTCGAAACGCACCATCGACACAGAAGGTGACCTGTGACATTGTTACTGTCAGTGGTAGAGTGGGGGAGGTTATGTTATTGATTGCTACATGTTGGTGTGTCACTGAGATGACACATGGAACCAATAAAGTCCAGAGCAAAGCCTTGGATACCATAGTGGTAAAGTTTAAGTCAGAGGTAGTTGCAGTATACAGTATCAAAGGCTTTTCTCAGATCAATAAAGTGGCCAATTTGGAACAAATTTTTGTCAAGGGCTGAGTAGATTATATTTAGCAGACTAATAATTGGTACTAATAATATAAGTACATCATTGGTACTATTTTGGCAATGGAAGCCAAACTGACAGTGAATTAATGTTTTAAGTTTTACAAGGAAGGAATAGGGCTGCTTGTAAGTAATTTTTTCAAATATTTTCGAAAGCAAAGGGAAGGAGAACACGCTGGACCTCATTTTCACTAATGATGAATTGATCAGGAACATAATGATTACAAATACCTGTTACTCAGATCACAACTTAATTGAAGTTATGACAACCATGGGGAGTAGACCTTCAAAACCAGTCCAGATTCCCGGTGGAGGAGATTTCAGCAAATTCAACTTCAATAATAAACAGATAAACTGGGAGCAAATAAACCAGGACTTCACAGAAATAAACTGGGAAGAACAGCTAGAAAATGCAAACCTGAACCAGTGCCTGGAAAAAATAAGCTCAGTAGCACTAGAAATATGTTCAAACCGCATACCCCTAAGAAAAAAGAGGAAGAGATGCAGATTGGAACGGGCACGTCGTTCCTTATATAGGCGAAGAAAACGAATCGCGGAACAACTTGAGAGTCGCACCCTATCTCAAGAACGGCGAAGAAGGTTAGGTAAAGAAATAGAAACAATTGAACGCAAGCTACAAGAATCATACAAAACCCAGGAGAGGCAAAGAGAGCAAAAGGCCATCAGTGAAATAGAGAGAAATCCGAAATATTTTTTCTCCTATGCAAAATCAAGATCAAAAACCACATCTAGTATCGGGCCCCTGCGAAAGGGAGATGGAACTTTCACCGATGACAACAAAGAAATGAGCGAGCTACTGAGGAAGCAGTACGACTCTGTTTTCAGCGAGCCATTAAACGCACTAAAGATTGATAACCCAAATGAATTTTTCATGGATATGATACCAACATCAAATCATATATCAGACGTCACCCTATCCCCACTGGATTTTGAAGAAGCCATAAACAGTATGCCTATGCACTCTACACCAGGCCCGGATTCTTGGAACTCCATATTCATCAAGAACTGTAAAAAACCATTATCGCAGGCCCTCCACATTCTGTGGAGACAAAGCCTAGATACTGGCGTTATTCCTGATATACTAAAAACAGCAGAGATAGCACCACTTCATAAAGGAGGAAATAAGGCAGAGGCAAAAAATTACAGACCGATAGCACTAACATCGCACATTATAAAAAATTTTGAGAGAGTGCTAAGAAGTAAGATCACAAAATACATGGAATCACAGCAACTCCATAACCCCGGACAACATGGTTTCAGAACGGGGCGCTCTTGCCTGTCGCAGTTGCTGGATCACTATGATATGGCATTAGATGCTATGGAAGACAAACAAAACGCTGATGTAATTTACACAGATTTCGCAAAAGCTTTTGATAAATGTGACCATGGCGTTATTGCACATAAAATGCGTTCAAAAGGAATTACCGGAAAAATAGGCAGATGGATCTACAATTTTCTGACCAACAGAACCCAATGTGTAATAGTCAACAAAATAAAATCCAGCCCATCAACCATGAAGAGCTCAGTCCCCCAGGGTACTGTGCTTGCTCCAGTACTTTTTCTCATCCTCATATCGTACATAGACAAGAACACAACCTATAACACTGTATCATCCTTTGCAGATGACACTAGGATTTTCATGAGAGTTGGCAACATAAAGGACACGGCAAACCTCCAATCAGATGTAGATCAGGTCTTTCTATGGGCTACAGAAAATAATATGGTGTTTAACGAAGATAAGTTTCAGCTCATGCGCTATGGAAAAAATGAAAATATAAAAACGGAAGCCACGTACAAAACTCGGGCAAATCATAACATAGAACGTAAGGGCAATGTAAAGGACCTGGGTGTACTCATGTCGGAAGACCTTACCTTTAAAGAACACAATAAAGTATCCGTCACAACTGCAAGAAAAATGACAGGTTGGATAACAAGAACTTTTCACACTAGAGATGGTATACCGAAGATGACACTTTTCAAAACGCTTGTGCTCTCTAGAGTGGAGTACTGCTGCACAATGACAGCCCCTTTCAAAGCTGGAGAAATTGCTGACCTGGAGAGCGTGCAGAGATCCTTTACTGTTAGAATCCACTCAGTAAAACACCTAAAGTATTGGGACCGACTTAAGAGCCTAAATCTGTACTCCCTTGAGCGCAGGCAGGAGAGATACATAATAATTTACACGTGGAAAATATTAGAGGGGCTGGTCCCAAACCTGCACACAGAAATAACATCACATGAGACCAGAAGACATGGCTGGATGTGCAGAATACCCCCGTTGAAGAGCAGAGTTGCAACAGGTACTCTGAGAGAGAACTCTATCAACATCAGAGGCCCGAGACTGTTCAACACGCTTCCGCTACACATAAGGGGCATAACTGGCCGACCCCTCACAGTGTTCAAGAGAGAACTGGATAAGCACCTCCAAAGGATACCTGATCAACCAGGCTGTGACTCATACGTCAAGCTGCGAGCAGCCGCGTCCAACAGCCTGTTTGATCAGTCCAGCAACCAGGAGGCCTGGTCGACGACCGGGCCGCGGGGACGCTAAGCCTCGGATGCACCTCAAGGTAACCTCAAGGTAAGGGAGATTTGATATGTGTGTAATTGTTTACCTGACATTACTCTTGCTTTTATAAGGATACCAGGAAAAAGTATGACACTCTAGAGATTTGTTGAGTAGCAGAATAATGGGTAGTACACGAGCAGGGGGCAGCACTCTTGTACACCATAGATGATATTTCACTAGTGTTCCCAGCTTTGGCTTTAAGTGATTGAATTATGGATATAATGTCTGTCGGGCTGAATAGAGTAGAGTGTTAGGATAGCTGACGGTGATACACAACCACACCACACTACCACACCACGCAACCACACCACACTACCACACCATGCAACCACACCACACTACCACACCATGCAACCACACCACACTACTACACCATGCAACCACACCACACTACCACACCACACTACCACACCATGCAACCACACCACACTACCATACCATGCAACCACACCACACTACCACACCATGCAACCACACCACACTACCACACCATGCAACCACACCACACTACCACACCACACCACACTACCACACCACCACACCACGCTACAGGCACACTACCACACCATACAACCACACTACCACACCACACTACCACACCATGCAACCACACCACACTACCACACCATGCAACCACACCACACTACCACACCATGCAACCACACCACACTACCACACCATGCAACCACACCACACTACCACACCATGCAACCATACCACACTACCACACCATGCAACCACACCACCACACCACACTACCACACCACCACACCACGCTACCACACCACACTACCACACCATGCAACCACACCACACTACCACACCACACTACCACACCATGCAACCACACCACACTACCACACCATGCAACCACACCACACTACCACACCATGCAACCATACCACACCATGCAACCACACCACACTACCACACCATGCAACCACACCACACTACCACACCACACCACCACACCACACTACCACACCACACTACCACACCACCACACCACACTACCACACCATGCCACCACACCACACTACCACACCACACTACCACACCACCACACCACACTACCACACCATGCCACCACACCACACTACCACACCACACTACCACACCACCACACCACACTACCACACCACACTACCACACCACACCACCACACCACACTACCACACCACACTACCACACCACCACACCACACTACCACACCACGCCACCACACCACACTAGATCGAGAGGTGAAAGGTCGAGACCCAATGAAAAAATCCCCAAACTCTAATACTGGTACAGATAAAAACCAAAAGGTCAAAATAACACGTGACTAAATTTCTCCAGTATATTTCCACAGGCACACCATAATAATAATAATAATAATATAAACTCAAACCCACTCATGTACTAACACAACACCACGCCGCCTGCTCCGGAAGGGAGACAGCCTCGTGCACTAGGCTATTTGAGCAAAAACACAAAGGAAGTCTTACTCAATTGGGAATACTAAAATGATTGGCTAACTCCATTAAATGTTGCTTAAAATGCCTTATCCTACAAAAACCTGATGGGGCCATGCCCTGAGTGACCAGACCACGTCTTCCATGGAGTAACACCAGCTTACAACTGACTCAAACATCTGCGCTGCGGCAGGCCTGCAGCCTGCGTTCGGACAAAGGTGTTCGAACATCCTAGGCATAAATAATATCTTGCTAAGCTATCTCTGCAAGGCTAACCTTCATTTACTTAGAAACGGTAAAGCAAAATCAGCTGATTATTACCGGACCAACATCTAAGTCAATGAAGCAGTACAAACTAATTACATAGTATGTAACACTAGGCCTCCAAACAAGGAGATGGTAGGCCTGGCCAAACTTTGACTGCTGCCACATCTACACCAGACAGCATGTAGCATGACTGATACACAAGACTACTAACTTAATTTACCCTCACTGGTGAAAGGTAAAGCTAACACAGCTTCCATAAGGTAAGCCTATAACTGAAATAC